GAGCAGGGAGCCTGATGCGGGACTCGATCCCGGGACTCCAGGATCATGACCTGAGCCGAAGGCAGTCGCCTAACCAACTGAGCCACCCAGGCGCCCCCATCTTTAATGTTTTAAAATTTTAATGTACTAAAATATCTTTAAATATTTTAAAATTTAAAATTCCTAATGTAAAAAATCAGTGAGAAGTATTTTAGGCTTAGAGAAGAGAGAGACCAGAGATGATCTGGAGCAGAGGTCAGTAAACTACAGGCACAGGCCAAATCTGGCCCACAGCCAGTTTTTGGGAATAAAATTTTACTGGGAAGATGATCATGTTCATTCATTTGCAAATTGTCTACAGCTGATCTCATGCTGCAAGCAGAGTTGAGTAGTTGTGACAGAGATGGCATAGCCTCCAAAGGAGAAAATACTTACTGTCTGGTCCTGTATAGAGCAAGTCTGCCAAGCCCTGATCCAGACAGCATACCCAGACTCAGCAGGAGTGGAATGAAAGGTACCGCTCATTCCCACATTTTACCCATTTGCTCTCCTGTGACAGTTTCCAAGTTCTCTTCTTCCAAGTTCACAAGCACTTTGCTCAAGACATCCTTTTAAGACCCCTCTTTTTCCAAAACAGCATTCCTTACATTCCCCCAGGTCCCTTGGACTATATGCCCTCACCTGGTATTCCCATGTGACTGTTACTCTGAGGTGCTCAAGGCTGAGTAAGAGGGAACTGCTCCTGCCTGACTACCTTGAGCTGGGACATCAGTCTTTTTTTCCCGCCTTTGGGCTTGAACTGAAACATCAGGTCTTCTTGGGTCTCAGGCCTGGTGCCTTTCAGACTAGAACTTAGAGCATCAGGTTCCCTGGTTCTCAGGCCTTTGGACTCAGCCTGGAACTACACCATCAGCGTGCCTGGGTCTCCAGCTTGTGGACAGCAGATCTTGGGACTTCTTAGTTTCCACAATCATGTGAACCAATTCCTTCTAGTAAATCTCTTTATATATACACACACACATACACACCCTAATGCCTATGCTTCTCTAGAGAACTCTGACTAATCTAGAATTTATATCGAGAGTGGGGTAGACAGATTTTAGAACCAGGAGTGGGGTGCTGTAACAAAGATCTAAAAATATAAAACTGGCTTTGGAACTGGATAATAAGTAAAGGCTGGAGAGTTTTGAGGAGTATACTAGAACTATGGATGTTGAAGGTGATTCCAGTGAGGACTTAGGAAGAAAAGAGAAGAGACTAAGACAAAGCTTCCATCTTCTTAGAGAATGCATAAATAACCACAGACAGAATCTTAGTAAAAATATGGATGTTAAAGGCTATTGTGGAGAGATCTCAAATGGAATGGGGAACATGTTTTTGGAAACTGGAGGAAAGGTGATCCTTGTCATAAAGTGGCAGAGAATTTAGCTGAACTGTGTTCTAGTGCTTCGTGGAAGATAGAGCTTGCAAGCAAAAAACTGGATATTTAAATGAGACTTTTTAAGCAAAGTGTTAAAGGAGCAGCTTGGTTCCTCCTGTTTATAGTAAAATGCACAAGGAGAGAGGTGAATTAAAGAAGAAATTGTTAAGCAAAAAGGCAGCAGAACTTGAAGGTTTGGAAAATTCTCAGCCTATCCATTTTGCAAAAAAATAAGAAAACTTGGGGTTCCTGGGTGGCACAGTTGGTTGAGCATCCAACTCTTGGTTTCAGCTCAGGTTGTGATCTTGGGGTCATGGGATCAAGCCCTGTGTTAGGCTGTGCACTCGGCATGGAGTCTGCTTCGGACTCTCTCTCTCCCTCTCTCTCTGTTCCTCCCCCACCCAACTCTCTCTCAAATAAATAAATCTATTTAAAAAAAAAAAAGAAAAAGAAAAAGTTTGCTCTGAAGAGAACAGTACAGGTGTAGCCAAACAACCATTTGATAAAGAGATCATGGGTGCAAACCACTTGCAAACCACAGATCTAATCATGTGTCAGTAGAAGCCAGGAACAGGTAAGGGATTATACTGGTGAAACACTGTTAGTTTGAATGAAAAGGGGTGAAGATGGGACAAAATAAAGGAGTGCTGTTGAGCTTCTTGGAATCTATACGATAGAACCATATAGCCATTTGGCTGTGAATATGTGCCAATCTTTAAGAAAAACGAATGAGTTACCCAAAGGCTGATTCAGAGATCATCAACCCTGGGGGTAGGCTGGTTCCTCTGCAGTTTCAAAGGTTTGGGCTGCCTCTCTGGTTTCTGTGAGCCAGGATGTGCCCACCCCAGTGCTTCAGGGGCAGGGTCACCCTGCAAACGCATAGGGGTGACAATGCCACCCCAGTAGGCCTGGAGGGCAGAGCACTGATCCAAAGAGGCTTATCCTGGAGCCTTAAGATCCCATGGAATTTGCCCTGTAAGTTTTGGGCTTGCCTTGGACTCGCCACCCCATCCCTCCTCCCTATTTCTCCCTTTTGGAATGGGACCATCTGATCCTGTGCCTGTCCCACCACTGTATTTTACAAGAACATAACTTGTCTGGTTTCACAGGCTCGCAACTGGAGAGGAATTCTGCCTCAGGATTAACTGTACCTCCAATCTCACCATACTTGATTTAGATGATATTTAGCTGAAACTTTGGATCTTAGACTTCAGTTGATGCTGGAATGAGTTAAGACTTTTGGGGATGTTGAGATGGAATGAATGTATTTTGCATGTTAGAAGGGCATGATTTGGGGGAGCCAGCGGCAGAATGTTATGGACTGAATGTCTGTGTCCCCCCAAGTGCACACGTTGAAGCTCTGACTGACAACGTGATGGTATTTGGAGATGAGGCGTTTGAGAGGTAATTAGGGTTTGATGAGATCAAGAGGGTGGGATCCTCTTGATAGCATCCGTTCCCATCCATGTGAGGCCACAGAAAGATAGCAGACATCTGTAAGTCAGGAAGGGAGTCTCACCAGAGACCAGCTCTATTGACACCTGATTGTGGACTTCCAGCCTCTAGAAGTATGAGAAATCAATTTCTGTCATTTAAGCTACCCAGTCTATGGTATTTTGTTATGGTGCCAGAGCCGACTAAGACAAGAACTTTTTCTTATCTATTTCATCCCAGACTGTGTGTTCCCCTTAGTTTATGCCGCACCCACCATGGTGCCCGGAGCCAGGACAAGCATCCAATCACCCATGACCGCACATGCTTCCAAATATGAAGACACCTATTTATTCTAACAGCAGTTTCATTTTTCATTCTAACTCTGCACACACTGTGCATTCCAACCTCAAAGAGCTCTGTGCACAAAGGGCCAAGGTCGTGGCCCCAAAAGGGGTTTAAAGGAAGTGAGATCTGCTGAGGCTGGTGCCCCGATGTACTTATTTCCAGGTGATGGTGTTTATGAGGAACTAATGAAGAACTGAATTTCTCTTCATTCAGTCTTCTGAGAACTGGTTTGCTATTTTTGCCTAAAAGAAATTCCTAGACCTTCCAACATGCCCAGTTCCACACTCAGGCATAAAACACCTGCTGTGTTAGGTTCTCCCTGGCTTTGTCCCCTGCTTTGCTGGCAGAGAGACAATCCTGAATTGTTGGACTAAGGACTAGGAAGGACAAAGTTCAATCCTACCCAGTGGGCCGTGGACAAGAAGATGACCCCTGGCTTCCTTACCACCGTTGTCCAGGGCACCTGGGGAATCCTGGTGTAGGTCATTGTTATGTAGATGATGAGGAAGAAGACGGTGAGGACCCAGTAAAATACAGCTACGAACATGACCCAGCCAAACGCGGGGACCCGGAAGTACTCAGTTCCAGCGATCAGTGTCCACACCAGCAGTCCCAGAACCTGTAAAATGGCAGAGGCAGTTTGAAAGAAAAGGGAGACACAAGTAAAGAAAGAAAGTAAAGAAGGAAGCAGGGACAGAGAAAAAAACAATTATACAGAGTGTCATAGCATTTGTTCATATTTACACATACACGTGACTTATGAATACAAAACAGGGGTTGCAAACTAACGTGCCCACAAACGCCAGGAAGGTACAAAAGATGAACATGGTAGGCTGAACAGAGACCAGAAAACAAGAAAAACGGTGTCTATTGTAAGGGGCAGTCTCTACTCAGCTCCAGCCAACCGCTGTGGGCCAATCTTTTTCTAAGTAAATTCTAGCCCTCAATGTGGGGCTTGAACTCATGACCCCAAGATCCAGAGTCACATGTTCCACTGACTGGGCCAGGCAGGCTCCCCGGTTGTGTGTCAATTTTGCTAGATCTTCCTTTTATTTTTTTTCCCCTCAAGAAAACACAGAAAGTCAAGTTTGTACATGATAATCTTGATTTTTAAATGTTAGCACTAATAACGATTTTTAAAATACTACGAGGGGACATGCTACACACACCTGTGGCTGGAATTTGCTCACAGGCCGATGCTCGTCAAGGAACAAGACTGCAGGTCCACTTGAGGTGGTCCACGGAACTGATCTGCTCTCAAGGGATGAACCTCTGAGGATTCCCCACCTGCCACCGCTGCCCCCCTCTCCCCGCAGATGGCAAATAACACATGGCCTGAGAGAGCCTTCAGAAAGGAGAAAATACAGGGGCCCAGTGCAGACACCGGCATTCAGCATTTTAACATAAGTTGTGCATTTATTCCAGCAAGAGCCATCCAAATCGTCACTGCTGATGAATAAGACCAAACCCAAAGCCAAATCAATGTCACCAATTGACTAGAGGAAGATTTCATCAGGGGAAAAGAAACTGATCCGAACTGTGGGTATCTTTAGTCCTGAACAAAGGAAGGCCAGAGCAAAGGATGCATCTCGCATTCCAGCACCTTCCAGGGACCAGGACTTTATTCCTAGGTCATGAAAAAGTTAGTATCCAAACCATATCCCCAGGAGTCAGGGCAGGCTCTAGCTGATAAGACTCAGGACAAATAATTCTGTTTTAGCTTTCTTTGTGGCATACGGAACAAATTACTACAGGAATTTTAATCACAAATCTAGGAAGATTGTTTTCACTTATTTGTTTAACCCTTGAGAGCACTAAACTCTGCCAGGCTTCCTGCTATCAGGCCCTAAGGATGGGTGGGGCACACATTGAACAGACCCTGCTGTTCGTAACTTAAAGTCTAGTGGGGGGAAATATCTGAATAATTATAATTGTGAAAAATGCTATGAAGGAAGGTATGATATGGGTGTATAATAGAGAGATATACCCCTGTTGCAAGCATGGGAAGTAGTCAGGGAAGGCCATGCTGAAGAATACCTTAAGACCCAGTAAGAGCTAGCGAGAGGTAAGCCAGAAGACAGCATGGGCAAAGGTCCAGAGCAGGGAGGGGCTTTGCTGCCTTCTAGAACCTATAAAAAAAGGTATACTAAGTTAGGACATTGGTGCAAAATGTTAAGAGAGGTGGGGGTGGGTCAGATTATATGGGCCCAGGTGGCCTAAGAATTTTGTACTTTCTCCTAGGCGGGTGACAGGGTTTGAGCAAGAGAGTGATAGGACCAGGGTAAATTTTTAATACTGTCACCAGCTAGACCCCAAAACCTGACCTTTACTGCTCACCTGCTTGTACCCACTGACCTTTGTCCCATATTTTTCTTAAGCTCTTCTTTCTAGCTTATCTCTTAACTGAGGCAGAAGACCTGACGGGTATAACATCCTGTGATGAAAATTGAAACTACCCCTCAAGAAACAGCGACTGCCCAAAGAGTTCTGGTGGCCCAGACCCCCAGATCAGTTTGAACTTGACCCCCACTCACGCCTCTGCAGAGAGACCATGGAGGGACCCAGGGAATGACTGACAGGTACCTTTACCTCATTATAATACTAAATCTCTGGGCACCTGGGTGGCTTCAGTCCATTAAGCGTCTGCCTTAGGCTCAGGTCATGATCCCAGGGTCCTGGGATCGAGTCCTGCATTGGGCTCCCTGCTCAGTGGGGAGTCTGCTTCTCCCTCGGCCTCTCTCCCCTGCTCATGCTCACTCACATGCTCTCTCTCTCTCTCTCACAAAAATAATAAAATCTTTAAAAAAAAAAAGAAATCTCCACACAAGCTCCAAGGGGGAGTCCAGCCTCATTTATATAATATACAACGTATGTTCAGGCAGGTTTCCTTAAGGTGCATGTGCAGCCTTGTGCTCCCCTCTACATGCAATTACAAATCTAAATATTCATCCTAACCCTAAATAAAAGGAACCGCTTCACCCTTGCTCAGGGAGTCACGGCTTTGGGAGGGATTCTCCGTGATCTCATTTGCTGTGTGACAACTCCACCGGGTGTGGTTTCCATCTGAGTCTCACCAAGGAGCGAATGCACGTTAGTTTGGTTACAATACCACTCTGGCTGCTTGGGAAGAACAGGCACGTGGAGGGGAAGAGGGGGTGTGTGGGAGGAGACAAGCTCACAGACTGTCACAATAGTCCCAGTGGGAGAAGATGACGTATTCAAGACCAAGATGGTGGCAGCGAATATTGGGAAGTGAGGGAATTCCAGACACACTTCCGAAGTGGCTGGGCCAGGACTCGAATAGATTTAGTAGGTTAGGATAGAGTGGAAAGACACGCAGAGTCTCTGGAAAGATGTATGATGCGTACGAGGGCTGTCACTTCCTCACCTGAACAATGAAACAGGACCAGGTGAAGGGGCTGATCTTTACCACAGCTCCTGAGCTCAGTTTTCAACCTACCCAGACTGAGGTGGCGAGGACCTCCAGATGGGGAGAAGTAGATGCTGCAAGCACAAGGGTGCAGGCCCCTCTTTAAGAAGGAAGACTTACTGTGAGGCCATGAAGCCCTCAGACTGGTTTCCAAGGGACATTCTACACTGCTCACTGCGAGAAGCCCACCTCTCTGCTACAGTTTGGTTGCTGTGCTGGGGAGCACAAAACAGACTCTAAATGTTGCTGCTTCCCCTCTTTAGAGTTGAAAGTTGCTGTTCCTTTTATCTGTTTGATATTGTATATAAATTCCAAAGCAATGCTTAATGGAGATGTGCTTTTATGCTTACATTCGTGGCAGGAGAATTTATCAAAAGTGAAGATGTACAAAATGAGATAGAATTCCAGAAAGTGCTAAGCCTCACACTAATGGGGTTTCGGGCCTGAATTCATCATAACTGACAGGTAATCTACACACATAGATGTGATACTCATTGCATCAGTGAGACTGGTAGATGTAATCCAGCATGGTGGGGTCTGAAATAACATCACGGGGTTCTTGCTGCAACCTGAAAAGGTCAGAATGGCCCTTTTTTGATGATGCACAGAGGAAACATAACTGCTGTGAAACATAACACGGCAAACAGGGTTAGGTCGTTTCCCCAGGGGAATGCAAGGGTTTAAGTCTCCAGCAGGAGCTTGTGTCCGGCTAGACCGGCTCACCTAACAGCTCTTGGCTCTGAATGCGTTTTTCATTATTAAAGCAAGCAGGGTCCACTGTCTAGAGACGCTTTGTCTAATGTGCTAGCAGTGGTCATCTTTTACACAAAGGGACAATATCGTTAACTGAGCTCTCAAAGAGCAGGAATACCTGACCCATGACCTCACCAGCAAACACAGTTAAAAGAATGCCCCTGTCAAGAAAAAGAATTCCACCCAAGTGAATTTCCTAGGTAACAGAAATAAGAAGCAAGCCTTTTGTCTCTCACTATAACCAATACTGATGAAAATCACTCTACAAAAATGTTAGTCATCTCCTGCTGGGTGTGTGTGTGTGTTTAAGATAAACTCTAGATCTTTATTTGCTTAAGACAAACTTTAAATCTTTATTTGCTTAGACTACAAAAATACTGTTTGTTTTTTTTCACTGATGAGCATTTTTTTTAGGCTAAGACTTTTTTGAATGGTAAAGCTAAGACTTAAAAAAATTCCCGGGAGCCTGCGTGGCTCAGATGGTTGAGCGTCTGCCTTCAGCTCGGGTCATGATCCCAGGGTCCTGGGATCGAGTCCCGCATCGGGCTCCCTGCTCCTTGGGAGCCTGCTTCTCCCTCTGCCTCTCTCTCTCTCTGTCTCTCATGAATAAATAAATAAAAAAATAGAAATCTAAAAAAAAAAAAAAATTCCCAAAGTGATAAAGGCAGGTAAAAATAAACACAGAAATATAGAAAGTATATAAAAAATATACAAAGAAGAAACAATCCCCATCCATCAGTTGTAAATTCTCAAGAGAAACCAATATAAAAACTTTAAATCTACCTTTCTTAAATTCTTTTCCTTGAATCTGTAACTACCATCTGTACATCCTTTTCTTTCTCTCTTGAAAATATGGATCACGCTGTACACGGTGCTTATGACTTGCTTCTCTCCATGAACAGTATCATGGGGGACCTCCTTCGTGCTACTACACACCGATCTATGCCAATTTTGACAGTTGCCCAGTTTTCTATAATTCATGTAACAAGTTCCCAATTGAGAGCAATTTAAGTTGTCTCTTTTATGCTTATATAAAAATGCCCAGGGAACATTCTTATAATATATACCTGAATCCCAGGAAGGATTCTGAGAGGCAGAATTTCTAGACTATTTTAAATGTTTAGAGGTACTGCCAACTTACTCATCCAAGCCTTGTACTAATTGTACTAAAGCATGCTTTTCCCTTCGACCCTGAGTTCCCATATTTTAAATGATTTAAAACCTGAATTTAAAAAAAGAGATCTTGGGGCACCTGTCTGGCTCAGTCTGTACAGCATGAGACTCTTGATCTTGGGGTTGTGAGTTCGAGCCCCATGTTGGGTGTAAAGATGACTTAAAAATAAAATCTTAAAAAAAAGAGAGAGATCTCACATTTTACCTTGCCCTGCTTCACTGAATTGCAGCATAGAGAAAAACGTACAAATCTGCACTGAACA